ACTCTGTACGTTCTCAGAAACACACTGTCTACACACCTCCGTGCGGGGAGAAAACATAAGCACACAGAGGGAGAGGTTTGAGGAGAAAGCCAAAAATTCCATCGCCCCTCATCATTAACCAGGCCTGTAGTCCACCTACTCCCTTATGCCCCAGGGAATTTCCACAGCTGAGCGGGAATTCGAACCCAGACCTCCCGAGTCCTCAGGCGTCACTCTCTCTCCCCGGCAATACACAAAAGAGACTCTTCCGAGCATGGTACCACTAGTCTCTGAGCATGCGAGAAGTGCCTTTTCAGTAAAGAAGAGACATTTCCTCTCCTGGACACCTGGGTTCCACACGGGCAGGATTCTGCCCACTGTGGGCACCATGGAAGGCCAAGCCACGTGCCTGGGAGGGAAAGGGGGAAGACGTAAGACACACACACACAGAGAGAAAATCAAATAGGAAATGGGCCAGCTCACCCCACCCCTTGGTAGCAAACAGCGGGCATGAAAGGGGAAGCAGCCGAGATGAGAAAGCGGGTTGGCCAAGAGGTGGCCCGGGCAGGCTGGGCAGGCTGGAGACGTGGGGGGGGCATCTCCGCGCCCAGAGCGCTTCTCTGGAAAGAAAGCACGCCCGGTTGTTCGAGGGACCCACCCCGGGTTGCTAGAGGAACAGCGCAGAGCAAATGTGGCCGGGTGGGGTCGGGCGAGAAATGGCATCCAGGACTGCCCTGGCTGCCAGCACACGCTGGAACCCCGCCCGGAGTGGGCAGAGGACAAGAGGAGGCCCATGGTTTCCCGGGCACAGAGAGAGTTTCAGGGGCGCCCGCTTCCGCCCACCTGGCAACTCAGGACAAGGAAGATCAGCCATGCCCGGGAAGGTGCCCACTCGAAGGGCCCCCCTCCCCGGCTACCTTGGCCAGAAGGAGGGCATGCGCACACGAAACACCACCACCCCCAGCGCCACCTGGGGAGGTTGATGGTTTCGGACTAGACTCCCAGAATCCCCCATCTAGGGTGACAACGTGGGCCGGGAGGGTTCCGGGAATCCGAAAACAGCGGACGATCGGAGTCACGGCCGGGCTCCGAGCTTGTCTCCGGCGAACACGCCGCCCTTGGGCTGTAGGGGTCTGTGCCCCCTCGGTTCCCCCCCCCGGCGGTCTGCAGCCGAGAGATAACAGCACCCTACACTGCAGGGGTGTTGCAGGGTGGGCAAGCGAGATAACGCAGATAGAGAGCTGACGGTCCCACCGAAACTGCTACATCACTGCTGTGGTCATAAAGGAGGAGGCAGAAGAGGGATGGGGGAAACACTGGGGGTCCAGTTGTCTTGGAGTCCGACGCCCATAATCCTTCACCGTGTGGGGCTGGTGGGAGTTGGCAGGCCAAACCTCTGCTCCCCCCCCCATGCTCTGGATTCTAGTATCCAGCAGTTATTATGTCATAAACCCTGCACCCTACAGAAATGGACGGGAGTGCCATATAGCTCTGGTTCTCCGTTCCTGGAAAAGGCACTCTGCACATGCACAGGGGGAATTCCCCAGGAGAGAACAAAGGCTCTGGGGCTGAGGCAACAGAACCCCAGGGTTCAGCCCCAGATCTGTTTCATCTTTCTCTGCCGTCGGCACTGCCCGCCCCAGGCTAAGAGTGGTCGCCCTACGGCTTGCTTCTTCCAGCACTATCACTATATACAGAAACTTCTACGGAGCCATTATCGGAGATGGAAAAAGGTCCTTTTTTTCGGATCACAGTCCCCAGAATCCACATGCTGGCTGGAAAGACATACCCTGCCTCATCTCCTGGGTTTCAGAAGCCAAAGGTGGCCTTGTGCTGGCGTCAGCCTGCAGAACCTGCTCCCACCCAGTGTGAGTCACGCCTGGCCATCAACGGCAGGCCTCCCTCCACCCCCCCACCTGGTGCCACTTACCCCAGTCCTCCCCATAGCACAGGGTGCCCCATGCCCTCCCTTTGCAGCCTCGCCCACCTTATCTCCCCTTTCCTCCAGCTGGCACGCCAAGAAATATCGCAATATAGGCGGCAGGGGAGAGGGTACTAAGCGTGGAACCAGCTCTGCCGCGAAGGACAGGGCATGGCGGGTTTGCTCAAAACGCAGGAGGAGGGGAACCAATTGACATTCTGGACGACAAGCCCAAAAAACGGCCAAACCCCACGGCCAGCCGTTATACCGGTTGACGGACTTCCAAAAACAAAACTCCAACCAACTTTATTCAGAGTTCAGAAAAGCTCCGATTCAAACTACAATTCCCAAGTTCCCCCCAGGCCAGGGCGGATATGGGGATTCTGGGGCTTGTTGTGCCTTTTGGTCACTCCAGCTTCTGTTCTCGTTTACTCTCCAACAGGGTCCCAGTTAGAGAGGACTTTGGACGGTGGAACTCACCTCCACTGGATAACAAAAAAGAAAAGTCTACAGAGAGAGAGGGAAAGAGAGAGAGAGAGGAAAGGAACCAACCAAGATTTCATTTGAAACGGGGTTTACCGAAGGTCGTTATTAGTAATACTAATAATTTAAAAGTTAATCAAAACAACGTGGGCTTTTCCGAAAAGCACCCCTTGCCTCCTAGTTCTTGGAGAAAGCCAAGCTTGAAAACCAACCTCACCGACAACAGATGGTAAAAAGGGGGTGTGGAACCTAATCTTCGGAGGCATCTCGAGCAAGTGAGCCAGTCTGCATGCAAGTTCTTTCTCATTGTTCTTGCAAAACCAGGGCTGGAGCAAAGGGGGAAGGTGGGGAGAGGCGCTGGAAGGGGACGGGGCGTTCAAGACAAGCTTGGGAGCTCCCGGGAACGTCCTCCAATGTGGAAAGGATAGAAAGGTAAGGG